GCAGAAGGCAGTCTGGTGATAGTTCTGAATGGCCCCTGAAGCTTGTAAAACAGAACCTTTATTTTTTAACAAAGAAGCTCAGTTGAATTTAGAATGGCTGGGCCAACCCCTTTGAAAGTAATGGCTGTGGAAAGAGGAGCCAGGAGTCAAGAACTCTTGGTATCAAACTAGAAGAGCCTATTCACTTTTTTTATCCCCTCGACCTTACAGTTTTTCCTTAGTAAAAAAATTAATAGATTTCCATAAGGCAGTCTTCCAGGAGAACTGATAAGCACATATTCTTCCTCTTTCTCTTTTAAAAAAAAACTTATTATCATAACATTGTATGTGATAATTTTTTTTCCATAATCACACTGAAAGAAACCCTTTAATGTCTTTCTTTTCAGTCTTCAAATACACATACAAATATATGTATTATGAATATATTTACATACACATATTATTTTTCAATTAATTTTTATACAAAAGATATTAATTACACTGTTGTTAACCTGCTTTAAAAGAACCCCTAAACCTACCAATATATTCTGAACATCTTCCCATGTCAGTCACTATTTACCTACGTATGATTTTTACCACATACATGCTATTACACTGCATGGATCCACCTTAATTTATTACACCAATTTTTATCTTTAGACATCTAGGTCAGTTCCAATACTAGCTCTAGAATTATTAAGAGTAGATAATACTGGAATAAGCATCCTTGAAAGTGAAATTCTGCTTACATTTCTAGGTGTTTGAGATGGTTGTCTTTTTAAACCCTCTTAAAGTATGGGGGTTATTGTAATAATAGTAACAGCTAACATTCATTGAGCATGTTGTAAATAGGCAAGTGACTTAAAGCAAGCTTCTCTGTCTCAAGATTCCATGTTTTTGTTTTTGTTCAGTAGTGCTTCTTTTATCTAGTATTTGGAATCTGGGTTACTGGCTTTGCCATTTGCTATTCAGGGTGGCCAGAGGTAAATCACTACAGCTCCCTGAGCCTCAGTTTCATCATCTGTATACACTGGGGATAATAATAACCATCTCACAGACTTATTGTAAGGATGAAACAAGATAATACAAGCAAAGAGCACTGTGCTTGGCACACAGAACTCAATAAATATTAATTTACTAGTCTATCCATGGAGCAAATCAAGAATTAACATCATTCTTTAATTCACACAGAAGGGAATGCTCAACCAGCTTGTCTTGATAGTCTCTCTCTCTTTTTTTATCATAATTTTTTGTGCTTTAAAAAATCTCCATAGTCTGAAGTTACATCTTTATTATCATTCTTATTATTTGTGTCTTATCTTTTTTCTTGGATTATTAGTCTTGCCAAAGATTTTCCTACTTCCTTGACTTTTCAAAGAATCACTTTTTGGTTGTTATTGGTCGTTTTCTGTCTTTTAAAAATTCCCTGTTGCATTAATTTCTGCCTTTAACATTTTAGAATTGTATTTGAACTTGTTAATCATAACAGAATTTGCATTCATTTGAGAAATAGAGTTATATATAGGAGCGATTATATATTATAGGAGCTATAGTATTTGGTACATATAAGGGCCATGCACCTGTGGAGGGGATTCTGTTCTAATCTTTGCATTCTTATACTGTTTGGGGATTTATTTTATTCTCTTTTTCAGGTTTCCTGAGTTGAGAGCTTGGTTCACTTATCTTCACAATTTAGCATTTTCTGTTAAATGCATTTAAAGCAATAAACTATCCTCTAAATACTGCTTTGGCCCTATCTCACAGTTGCAGAGTTGCATATAGAGAAAAGCATTTTTTCTCTGTAGAAAGGTTTTATTAATAGTTTCCTTCTGTTATCATTTACTACTGTCACTTGGCATTCATTGGTTATTTACTGTGTAGGCCTAGGAGAGTAAAAGTAATACTGAAAAATCCTTTTGGTCTACGAGCTTACAATTTCACATGTTGAGAGTGCTGAAAGGTTTTCACCATGATTTTTTCTCACTCTCTCTGGCCTACAATTTTAGCCTGTCTACCCACAGCACAGATTTGGAGAAAAGGGAATAAAGGAAAGATAGGGGATAAAAATTCATATTTAGCTGTTGGTGAATAAAGTTAGTAATATCCATGGTGTATATCTGTTACTTGGGTTTATTACCTAAGCTTTAATTCTAATGTCCAAGAGTGTTGATAAGAAGAGTTTTAGACGTACCTACAAATAATATATTATTTGGGTCAAGCATTCTTAATCTGAGTCTGTGAACTTTGACAAAAAATAAATATATACATAATATATATACTTGTATTTTAATATATATTATATGTACATTTATGTTTTTTTCACTAATCTCTACTTGAAAATTAGAATTCATTCCATTTAGTTAGCAAACCACAGTAATATTAATCTGTGACATTGCCTGCAATAGAAACCACCCATATTTTCTGCCACATTAAAGTTGTAAACATCCCAAAATATTATTTATATGCATCACTACTGCAAAATTACTGCAGGTCTTGATCTTTTTAATACATTAATAAAGAAGCAAATATATAACTATTAGTTATCTGTGGCTGAATAATAAATTATCCCCCCAAATTAGTAGCTTAAAAGAACATATTTTTATTATATCACAATGTCCACAGGCCAGGAATCTGGCCTGGCTTACCTGGGTCTGTAGGCTGAGGATCCTTTACCAGGCTGCAGTCAACTCAAAGCTCAACTGGAGAGAATCTGCTTCCAAGCTCACTCATACGGCCTTTAGCAAGATTCAGTTCCTCATGTGGTGTTGAACTGAGAGCCTCAATTCCTTGGTGGCTGTTGACTGGAGACCTTGCTCAGTCCCCTGCTGCCTGGGCCTTTCTGTTAAGACAGGTCACAGCATGGCAGCTGGCTCACATCAGAGTGACAAAGAGAGCAAGAGAGGATAAGGATGGAAGTCAGAGTCTTTTTACAACTTAATCATGGAAGTGACATCCCATCACTTTTGCTGTATTTTCTTTTTCAGAACAAATCACCAGGCCCAGGCCACACGTTAGAGGAGAGGGTTGCACAAGACAGGAATGCCAGAAAGCGAGGATTATTGGGAGTCATTTTGGAAGATGCCTATCATATAACAGGATTGCAAGTTCACTTATTAGCATTTGACAAATTTATGTTAATATAATCAATTTCCTTTGTAGCTCTAGGTAGTTTATTTTATGCGTTTAAGAATACTTCTGAAAAAGGGTCCATAAATCTCACCAAACATTAGGGCACATGGCTCTAATTTGTTTCAGTTCAGGCACCTTCAACAGCTTCTAGGGGAATTTGCTTAGAATGGGTCCAATTTAAATAAGTCAGACAGAGAAAGACAAATACTCTATGATTTCACTTATATATGGGATCTAAAAAACAAAACAAATGAACATTAACAACAAAAAAACAAAGACTCAGACACAGAGAACAGGCTGGTGGTTGTCACAGAATGGGGGAAGGAGTAGTGGGATGGGTGAAATAGGTGAATGGGGAAAAATTAGTGAGGATGTTTAATATGTTGATCTGAACAATGGTTACATGAGTGTATATGTCTATGTGTCAAAATTCATTGAGCTGTACACTGAGATTTGTGCATATTATTGTATGTACCTCACTATAGTTTTTGAAGAAAGTAGAGTGGCCTCAATTTAGAAACTGAAGATCAAAGTTTTAACCTACTCCATATTATCCTAGTCCAATACCCTTGACTAGACCATAGTGCCATGAAAAAAGCATGGCATAGTTGATAGCACAAATTTGCTATAGAACACTCCATAAACTGTTCTGCTCACTTGAATTGGAATATGTATGTATGGTTGATAAAGAAGGGTGTATAGTATAGAAAAGGGTATCAACTACCTAGAGCTACAAAGGAAATACATGTTTGACCTGATTGACAATGTCCTCATCTCCTATATGGCAACTGTCATTTGAGCCTCAAAATGGCCGTATGATACGAGAGGAACTGATTTCCCCAAGAATACACTAATTATCAGACTAGTGCTCTTTCTGCTACCAAGCTATATATGAGAAGGCACAGCGTAAAACTAAGTAATAAAAAAAGAGAGAAGTGATCCTTCCCTGTCTTTTGCATATGTCATCTGCTCTTGGCAACATTAAGAATAATTGTATTTTCTGCAAGCACAGTACCAGCTTCCTATATTGTTTTAGTAGTCCAGAAGCCAAGAGAATTTTATAAAAACCTCCAGTATTCAGATTGAAAATAAATATGTCAACAATAATTGTGAATGATTCTTTTATTTGGTCAATAAATTTTCTCCTAAAACTCAAATGCATCATCTTCCCCAAACCATCCCTTCTGAATCATTCTACAAGGTGATTTTCCTCATTGTTCTCTGATTCTAAATAAAGCAGCCCAGTATTGTCGGTTATTTTAGATTTTCCAAGATAACCCAAGCAAGTTTTTCACGTGTATCCCCACGTTTTTTGTGGCTTTTCCAGATCTGAGTCCCTTTCAAGTCTCTAGAGTCAGGGCATGTGAAACAGAAAAGGGCCGAAGAACGTGGGTGGTTCCAAGATCCCATAGCTACCGACTGTGCAACGTGGTCAGCCAAGCCACCTTGGTTGACCACATTTTCCTAATCCACAAAAAGTGTGGATTCGTGGGGATCATCTCTGAGACCTTTTCTATTTCTAAAGCTTTGCGTTACATTGTGAAGTACTGAGAAAAACTCTTGACATTTAGGACAAGTGATTAATGTGGCAACACACTTGGCTACTCTGAAGAGAGGTCTGAACCAGCTTTGGGTACAGAGCACGAAAGTGAGGTTTGATTGCTGACGGAGGGAAACAGCAACCATCCAGTTCAGTCCATTCAAGAATTCACGAGGCGGAGGTGGGCGGGGCAGTGGGGCCGGCGTTGACGACAGAAGGCTACTTCCGGCTGTAGTGCGCATGACGTCAGGGCGAGTCGGACCGGCCCAGCCACCGAGAAGCCGAGGAGGGAGGGCTCGCGAGAGTTCTGGGAGGCCGCCCCGAGATTCCGGCGCGGCCGCGGGTCCCACCTCCCGGGGGCGGGGCGAGGGCGGAGCGGGCAAAAGGGAGCGGACGGGCGGCGGGCCGGCTGCGGTGCGTGCGGAGGCTGAGCCGGCCGCGGGCGCGACCCGAGGCAGGTGAGTACGCGGGTGCCCCGCTCGGCGGCCGCGGCAGGGTCCCGGCTCGCCGCGCCAGCCCCGACTCTGCAAGCAGGACCTGGAGGGGAGCTTATGGATCTTCGGGGGTCCAGGGAAAGCTGGGCTGTTTCGCGGCTGGAAATGTCCCCGGTGCAGCTCCGGCGATGGCCTTGGCCCTCTTGTTCCCCGGGTGATGCCGGCCTCAGGAGTCCGGAGAGGTAGCCTCGAGCCCGGGGAGGAATCTCTGTCCTTCCCTGCCCCTTTCGCCTCCACTCCTTGGCCCCCCCAGCACCCCGCTCCCCGTGGCCGCCCGGGCTCCATAAACAATAACAGACGTCGCGGATCCTCTCCCGGTTTCCCCTGCCCTCCCGTCCCGTGCCCTCCGGCCGATGTCCCCAAGAGGGAGGATTCTAGGCATGGCTCTTACATTGTGGGCGCTGTTTGTGTACCATTCGTAAAAACGGATGCGTCAGATGGCTGGATATTTCTCTGACAGACACAGTGGAGCTGCCCAGCTCCCAGAAGCCACAGAAGGTTCAAACCCCGTCTCAGAATCAGTCCCTACGACCAGAACCGTAGATTCTTCTTTCCAACATCATTTTCTCCCGTCCCCCTTTTTCCATCTTTACTATCGGGGACAAATGAGTGGCGATAGGAGAGACCGCACCCGACTGAGTAGGAGACTTTTCACCTTTAAAAAGTTGCCAGGTTGTCAGCAAAAGAAAAACTTTTATTTTCAGAACGAGTGGCCTCCCGTTTTCTGAAACTACTTTTGTTTTGTGGGATCGCTTTTCAGGTTGTAAGTTTAGAGGAAAGGCAGAAAAAGAAATGGGGCGGCGGAGGGAACAGCTGGTGGTGCTGGAAGTAGTGGCTTGTCTAAAAAGTGATGCTGTTCCTCACTTGATAAAATGCAGAACCAGCGCTCTTGTCTGTTTCATGTAACTTGTGTTAAGTTTTGACAAAAGGCAATTTGCTCAGAAAAGACCTGAGTATTAGCTTTATTGCTTCTCAAATCTGAGGAAACAGCCTTAAGTTTAAATTTATGCCTCCTGGTCCTAAGATGGGAATGAGACCTTGTCTTTGCGGGATGGGGACTTAACTTGAGGGCTCCCAACTTTAAGCCCAACTTTGTATATTCAGTGCAAATTTTTGAAAGGGCTTTGTCTCAGTAATAGATGTATAAAAAACCCTGGAAACCTCTTTGTGTTTGGCCTTTCTTTGTATGCCTCAGGATATATAAAACAATTAAGTTTATTATACTCTTCCCAATAGCTGACAGGTATTGTATGTGAATTAGCCACTCTTGTGACTGTTTGAGGGGAGAGAAATTAGTCCAAAATATGATGTTAAATTATGATGACATTTGTTCATTGCAGAGGTTCATCAAAGTACTTATATGTGAAAAATCCTGATCTCAAAAGAAGTCCATGAGATTAACAGTTTTGGGGATTTGGTCTGGTCTGGCTTTGTATTCTTCTCCTTGTTAAGATGGCTGATGGTTTCCCATTTAGTTGGGTTGTTTTGAATGTGCAACTAATTGGGTATTAGTTTTTATATTCCTTTGAAAGGCCTTGCCTCTGGGGGATGAAAAATTAGATTTAGAAAAACCACATTAAATGGATGCAATTATTTAGCCTTTTGTTTTATGAGTTTGCTTTAAAATAAGTCAAAGAATAGAGACTGGAAATATTTGTGTGCAAATGAATAAGTGTCCTCAGCAGTTTTTATGCTGAAAAATTAATTTCAGAAGGTAGGACAGTATTAAAAACATAGGAAAAAATGGTACTTTGTAGACTATGGTAACAAAGATGAACTCAGCTCAGCCATTTGTCTGCAGAGAAGTTTTGTCCTTTCAAAGTAAGGGCAACAACATTGTGTTAGCAAAGTTGGATAACACTTTAGAAAGTGATTTCCTGGTGATCTCAGATAAGTTGGAGGCTTTTGTGTGTGTATGCATGGCACTTTTTTAAGAGGGAAAAGAGGGCACAAATCAAAACCAGAAAGACTTTATCTCAATGTCATGTTACAATGATTTTATTTTACATAAATACTGTAGGGTGAATCAGGCAAGCGTGCTGTCTTCTAGCATCCCCAGGATTACATTAAAATCAACAGATGGGCAAGTTGTGATTAGGTTAAATTTGACATATGCAGAAATGCTACTGTATTTTTATATTAAAAGCACCATGTGAATGAACTTTTGAAAACTTTTTTGAATGAGATCATGAAAGTAAGCTTTTAAAGCATAAAAAATTTTTTTAAATTTAAAAAGATATTCATGGTCAGTAGTTTCAAAATATTAAGAGAATCCTTTCCTGCCCCCACAGTCCCAATTTTTTAAGTCTTAAGAGAATATTTAGCAAGGTATGACCAGTACCTAAGCGGATTGGTTACATAAAGCTCCTGTCTCCAGGTAAAGATTTGCTAATTGACAGGGTAGTATTGCTCAGAACCTTTAGAGAGAAGGAAATGAAGGGCAACAGTGAGCATTTGCTGCCCAGGATTCAGATGAGTTGTGGTCTCTGTCTTCAAGTAGATACAATCTAATGGGGGGGAAACACACCCACATAACTATAATACACAGTGCATTTTGTGGAGAATCCAAGGAGGGAGGAATTAAATTCTACGAGACCAATTAAGGAAGGCTTTGAGTAAGAAGAGGCAATTTGCAGAGATGACTGGACACTAGTCATGATAATCATAATAAACACTTTACGCAGTACCGCTTGATGCTAAGCCCTTTCATGTAGTCATTTAGCTGGGTGGAATCTTTACAACTACATATGGGGTAGTATTTTTTATTATCCCCATTTTGCAGATGGGGTAACTGAGGTACCAAGATCAGATAACTAGAAAATGGTAGAACAAGGTTTCCAACCCAGGCATTCTGGCTTATTCCTGTATCCCTGTGCTTAACCGCCATCCTTATATTCTTTTCCATTCTTGATGGTCTTTCTCAGGTCTGTAGTATCAAAGAATTAATTTGGGAAAATATATTCCTCTGGCAAATTGACCCAGGCAAATAAGTTGTTTTTACCATGTTAGATATTTAATGCATGTTTGGAAGTTGCTGTTGGTGCAAATTAAATGTAATGATTGAGTTGGACTGTTGATAAATTTTACTACCTAGTAGCATACCCAGAAGGATTTAGAAGTGAGAGAGGTCTTAACTGTATTAACTCCCTTTGCTTTATGGAATGTTTGAATCATTGTATATTTTGGCTTATAGTTTAAACAAATTATTTGGCACTGAGTATGAATTAAATTGTGAATTTGGAATTCAGTTAATGGTTGAATGTCAGTCTTAGCCCTTTTAGTTTTTATTTCCACAGACACCTAAATTTATAAAGCCTGAATCGGATTTGAATAGAGTATTGTACATGTATAAAATGGGAGTTCAATTACTGATACTTTATGGTAGGGCAACTCTGAAACTCTTTGGGATTGTGCAAAGGTGCTATTAAAATTCACTGTGCCTACTATAGGCCTACTCAATAAATCGTTCTTTATTGAATGAATTGGCCAACTTATTTTATTTATAAAGTTTAGGAATAGTTCACATCTGTTATTGGTTAAGTATTGCGATCACAATAAACTCAGTTGGATTTAAAGGGTCAGAAAGAATGTGTGTCTAGGAAGTGGTAGGGGCACTGTGTGTCCTTATCTGTCTGGCAAGATACGGACCCCTCAGCCACTACGGCGGTGCCCCCACTGACCTGACTCGGGGGGAGTAAGTAGAGCTCCAGAGGCGCAGTGTCTGTGAATGAATCTAAGAAGTGTTCTCTCCTTGTCTGAGTGGGGTGGGTTCTGCAAACCCCACGGTACAACAGCTGTGCTTGATGAGCTTGAAACCTAAGGGGAAAGGTAGCAGAACTAAAGCCAGGGTTTAAAGCCCATATACTTATGTGGTTACAATAAGACAGAAGTGGCAAAAAAAATTTTTAAACAAAAACAAATTTTTTAAAGTTTTTTATATTTAAAATTTTTTACACAGCTTAAATTAGTAGTGATGGTATATTATTACCACTTCCCACCCCCTGACGAACAAAATTTTCAGGATCTTCAGCCTCTAATTTCATGGAGCTGCCTACAAGTCAACTCTGCTTTGTTATAAAACAGTACCATGTTCCACTAAATACAGGTTAGATTTTGAAAGCTTGTTCTTAGTATATAAAAAGGAGTGTGAGTCTATCAAAAGGAAATCAGACATACTCTGAAGTCAGAAAAAATTTGGGGGCATCTTTTCCCATAACAGACTAGTTTTATCTACATAGAAAGTCCACTGAGACAGGTAGCCTCCCGCTTAGATGATCTCTGTACAGATCTTGGGGAAGACTCAGCAGTTACAGGGCATCTGGTGAGCTGACGATTCTCGATTATTTGCTGTCTCCGTGTCTCATTCAGGAGGAGATTCTTTTCTTCTTCTTAATTTTGGAATGCTTGTACTGCTTTTGCTATCACTGAATGTAATGGAGTTAATAATGTTTAACATATCAAAATCAACCCCAAATATAACAACTTCCCTAGAATCTTTATGGAAGATGGCAGAAATCTAAATGACTCTGCATGGTTGCTAATACCGCCTATTTTTGGCAAGCAGAGTTACTGTGCCTTTGCTACGGAGCCTAGCTGTCATTCGTTCTATGAAGATTTAGAAGATTGAAAGTTTGCAAACAGGGAACCTTCTGTACCCATCACTAAGCTTTTTTTGGGGTCTTGTTCTCTACTACACAGTCATCGCTGTTTTGCTTTTATGACTCGGCGATTTCGGCTGCGGTTCTCTAGATCCTTCAGCAATCCTGGAGACACAGTAAGTAATTTGTCTATTTAATATGAAAAATGCTTTATGTAACCCATGTTCCTCAAACTTTGTCTCACAGCAGTAATATATAGACTGAGCTCTCTGTAGATCATCTTTTCCTCTGACATGTTCTTGGCTCCTTTTTTCTTCCTGAATGTCACCAGTCAGGGTACAGCTCTAAATTTAATTTTATCAACAGCAGTTAACCATTTACGTATCACTTCTATGTACCAGGCATAGTGCTAAATCCTTTATGTAAACATTATCTCATTTAATCCTCACAGCAGCCCTGTGAGTTATTCTCTCTCACTTGCAAATGAGGAAACTGGAGCCTAGCAAGGTGAAGTGATGGGGGTGGAAATTGATCCCTAACATCCAGCTGTGCTTTCCCTTGCATTGCTCTATTTTATTTTAAAAACTTTCTTTGGTATTTAATTTGCCTCTTTCTTCCAGTCCCACCTGAGTTTTCTTTCTTCCCTTTCTTCCCTGCGTCCCTTTTCAGGAGTTATTTATAGTTTTGCATATCAAACAGATTCTCCTGGGAAAAGTATACAGAAATAACTTAGTTCCATTCATATTTCCTATAGATTGGGTGTTCTTGGTGAGAGCTTATTGTAAGAATACTACTAGTAACATGTGTGTATTTGTATGGTGCTTTAGAGTTTTAGAAAGCATTTTTACATTTTCTTACAATTCTCATTAGCAAATTTAAACTCAGGTATTTAGGTGAATGGCTGCTACAGACATTCGCTAAGGACTCTGCAAAATTAGTTGATGAGATACAGTTCTTGTAATTTTAATGCTGCTATAAATGATATAATCAAATGTTCTGATTTCAAGCATAAGAGCAAATAGGTATCATTATAACATAGCGTTTTCTTAAAAGGTGTTTAGTTTGCAGCTGAGCTTTTCTGGTTGAAACCGAAAAGTTGGTATTTTAGTTCTGTTTTAAAATAATTATGATGAAGGAATGGCGTGGAGGGAGAGCAGATATAGATTCAGTAGTGAAATGCAAGAATTGGGGATCCTAACAAGGGCTTGATGGGGTATCTCATAGTATCATTGTTATAGGAAATTGGATGGAAACTTTAAAGAATGGATACACTGCCAAGTATTCACCTCTGGAAAGCTGTATTATTTGAGAGCTCAGAGAGCTTACTTAGTGATGCATTTTTGAGATACTGTGTCAGTACCTTGTTTTATTAAATTTAATTTTTGCGAAGCTATGTACATTTTAACTTAGTTAACCATTTGCCCATTGACTTGCCCCCATTACGGAAATACCACACCACGTTTGCTCTTCCCAGTTTTTCTTATTTGTCAGCAGAGGTGGGTTGCCTGGTTTATGGCACTAGGGAGTTGCCTTTTGTTGTGTTTTTATAATAGGGACCCATTTCATTTGGACATAACTTTCAAATCTGGTTGAGGATAGTCTCCATATGTCCACTATTATCTAGCCAAGCAGAATAGACTTCTATTTTTGTGTCTAGAGTGGAAAAATTTCAGTTCTGAATTGCATGTATTTGACCCATTGATATTCCATTCCTGCCTGAGTGGCAAATCCTGAAGGAATCACAGACCCATAATGTTTTAGTGAGGTTCATTATCATAATTCAACGTTTATCAGCTATTTGCAGGGTGCTATACTAGGTACCATGGGGAATTTAGAGATGAGCAAAATATATTGCCCTTCCATTTAGAGAGGTTCAGGCCAGTAAGAGACATAATGTATGGGTACAAGTAACTGTAGTTCAAACAGAAAGTAATAAGTGATAGGGCGCTTGGGAGCAGAGGAAGGAGAGATTGCTTCTGTCTGGAGAGATAAGGAAGGCTTCCTACATAAAGTGAAATGTGAATCCACCACTTAAGAATGAAGGACACGCCAGGCAGAGGGGTTAGCGTGAGTTGGATGTATCTCTGTAACACCCGATAAATTGTATATTAATTATTTACTTCTCTCTATGTCCTCTTGGATTTGAGCCCATTTTACTTAAAGAACAGGTGTTTTTCAGTTTTTCATTCTCTGCATTATCAACTACTCAACCTAGGACATTTAATTTAAGTTGTACTTTTGGGAGATTACAGTGGCAGTAGTGTACGTGGAAAGGCTTCAAGGGAAGAGGGAACCGAAATGAGAGTGCCAGAGAAGAGACTAATTTAATCATCTGTAAGATAGATAATCATCTATAAGATCTGAACTAGGTGGGATCGGAAAGGAGAGACTTGGATGGCCCGGCATCGCCCCTTCATATTGTGACCAGGGGAGTTCTTTCACTCAGAATCACCCACGAGGTACAGGCCGTGCACCAGGGGAAGCAGCGATGGAAGGACACGGGGCTCCCTCAGCAGGCAGGTGACTCCACAGCCACGCTCACGGGCACAGAAGTCACGGCAACGCACGTAGGTGCTCCTGGGAAGGAGCAGCACCTGAGGGAAGGGGGCGCTTCCTGGGAGAATCAAAGCAGCCGTCCGGGGAGGAGGTTGTGTTTGAGCTTAGATTTGAAGGCTAAGTAAGTAGCAGGTTTTCAGGCCGACAAGCAGCAGGAGGGTACAGCCTAGAGACGCGAGAGACTGTTCAGGAGCCGCAGAGCCTCGATTATTTTAGTGCTGGGACACGCGCCTAGATAGGATGAATGAAATTGTCTTCATAAAACAACTTTTATTTGCCACGTTTTAAAATATTTATTTTATCCAACCTCAGCACCCTGAGCTCTTGTAAGGAAGTGTTCCTGTTGCCTCCGACGGCCTGGCTGGGGGTACCTGTGCTGTGCTTCCCACTCTCGGCTGGCAGGTGTCCTGCCAGTGATGAATTGCCTCTTTTGCCTCTTGCTTCCATTTGTGAAATCAAACAGAAAAGGTAATGATACCATTAGCCAGGGAGACAGAGAAAGGAATCCACTAAAACCTTTTCTTTGATGAATGCCCAGAGCAACTAGGATTGTCGTATAAAGAGAATGCAGCCTCAAAGCATAGCTTCAGGAGCACGTGATGGAGGGGATGGTGATAGGAGCATAATTATTTACTTTTCCCATGGAGTTTTATGCAACCCCTAAGAATTTTCCAGAACTATGATGTCTAGCGCTGAAGTCTTTTTGTTCTGGTAAATATCTGCCTCGATGTATTTTTTTTCATCTTCTCTACTCTGACCCTTACTATATTTTAATACCTTAGCATGGCTCTAAACTTCAAATGCGTCCCCCCATCCTGCATATCTTGATCATTCAGACACCTGCATCTGCAAGTCGTGGTCTGGGACTTCGTGCGTGTGTGGGATCCGTGTCAGACTTCTTGAGCAGGAAAGCACTCTAGGTTTCTTTTTCATTTTAGGTTTACTTTCTACAGCTGTTCATTTTTTTTCTATCCTCTGGTTTGGGCCACTGAAGCGGAATGTAGTTAAGCTGTTTTTGAGGACAACCAAAAAGTTAACTAGACGCCAGTAAGAACTATATCCACAGTATTTCTAGGCCAGCGGCTGGTAGCTGTGTTGGCATCTGTGTCCTTCGAGGTAACAGTAGTTTATGGGTGCTGCTCTGTCACGGTCACTTCCAGATGGGCTCGTCCTGCTCAGACCTCTCTTCTGCACTTGAGACTCCACTGCCGCTGTCTTTCCTAGGTCATCAGCACCGCGGTGTGTTCCCAGGTAGCTAGGATGCAGCTTGCCCAGAGCTGACTTGTCTCCTCCCGTCCCAGAACCTTTCTTACGCTCCTTCCCCCCTCCAGCGTGTGACAGTGCTCTCTGGTTGGTTGCTCGGTCGTCCTAGAAGCATCATTGACTCCTCCTCCTTGTTTATCACTCGCATCCTGTCTTCCTCCTTTTGGCCTCTTGAATTCTGCGTCTGTTTGCTCTTTCTCCAGTGTCAGTATCTTCATTCAGGCTCCAAATTACCGAAATACCCATCTCCCTGCTACCTGTCTTGCCCACTTCCAATCTCTCTTCCATGTGGCTGCCAGAAGGGTTCTCCTCACATATAAATCTGTTTAACCCCCACATTTAAACTTTCCAGTGACTTCTTACTAGCCTCGTCCAGACCCCTTAGCACGGCATGTTAGTCTGAGTCCCTCTAAGAGGTGGTGCCTTTGTGGTTTTCTAGCCTGATCTTCCATTACTCCCTCCTACCTCTCCAGCTGTACCGAACCTCCAACTTTCTCTGACCATAGGTCTGCACACTGCGTCCTGGAATGCCCTTTCCCACAGTCCTTTGGGTCATTTCGGTGCCTTCTTGGGCATCTCCACTTTCAGGCCTTCCTTCCTTGGCCTCACACCTCCACAGGGTTTTGCTCTCCCACAGCGCCTTGGACATAGCTCTTTGCTGACCCATTTTATATCCTAAAGCACAATCATGGCCAACACTGTAGATACCATGTACCAAAACTTATTGAGCATTTACTGTGTGTAGATATGAAACAGTGTTAATTGGGAAGTTCTTCTGCAGCTTTCAGCTGGTTCTTATCACAGAATTAGAGGTGATTTCATATCATTGCAAGAGTGAAGATGGCTGTCTTCTATCTTGTCTGTTTCAGTCTCAGTATGTTCATTTAATTTGTTCAAATATGGATTCCAGACCTTTTACCTTCCTGGCCAGTATCCTTAATATGTGTATATTTTGTTAATTTTCTCTTTTAAAGTGTGTGGTCCAGTTTTAAATAAAATGGATTTATCAGAAAGAGAGGCAGGACTTCACCATTATGTAGTATCTGGATATGGACTGTCATATTTAAAGTACAGACATTTCTTTAACAGGTCCAGCAACATGGATTTCTTTCTGTATGTGCAGAAATAATCAGGATTATGGAAATTATATTTAGCATGTGACCAAGAGACTAATATAGAAAAATGCCACTTAATAAATGTATCACTCCAGCTGCGAGGAACATGGTAACTTGCATCATTTGGCCACCAGACTGTCACCGCAGTAGGACAGTCTGCACGGGAAGTCAGTCCTTCCCATCAGAGTGGGCCATCCTCACGGGGAGGGGTGCGAGGCCATGTCAGCCTGATGGGGACTCTT